GCCTAGCACAAACAAATAATTTTGACGCCTAATAGAGATTAGCTGATTAGCTTCTGACAACTTCTGACACAAAGTCAAAGTATTGCAAAGACGCTACTTCCCATGTCGCGGCTGCATCCGGGTGTTTTTCGGTTGCAATAAACACAGAATTCTCCGAAGCAATGCAGCACGAAAGGGGTCAAGCCTTCATGGGCCACGATTGCCCCGATTCTTCTTTTTTCTCACTCGCTTCGTTGGAGTGTCTCAAGCAAGTGTTATTCTTGATGTCTGTCCAGTTGGGTGATGCGTATAGCCATTTTTCGGTGCCTACAGCCCAAAAGTCATGTGAAATATGAGACCAAGGGCTGCGCACCAAGCGGAAAATTCTCTGGACTCTAGACACGGCCCGGAGCTGTCGGCAGTCCAGCGAAACATCGAGATGCGACCTACTAGCGGCGGGTTTATGTCAAGTCCGGCCGCGAGAATACACGACACTCCATGTTGGACGCTGCGTAGCGGAAATACAGATCGGCGCCGAAATCACACGCCAGGCCAGCACAATCCCCGAATTCACGCAAGCAGCGAACATGGGTCAAACTGCCGGACTTGGGAAGGTTGGACCTTTTGCGTGCTGCATGGTTTCTGGGTGTCGGGTTCTGTTACGCGGAACAGATCTGGGGTCGTATGAACGAAGTCTTGAGCCCTTTCGCGCCACGTTGCATTTGTGCGTTCGTATCTGTCTCCATGTCCTCCACGGGTGTTTTGCAAAAAACTCTGATGACCAACCAGGCTGTGCCAGTCATGTGTCATGTGACTTAAACTGGACCCCGCCCTGCAAGCTCCGTGGACTTGCCTGCAGGTATATGTTTTGCCGTTGCTGCCCCAGCTCACATGTTTTGTCTTCGCATGTGTCACGCGTGCTGGCGATTCAAGCCGTCCTGTGGGTGCCATTCACCCGATGCGTGTCCGAGGCAGGAACTACATTTGCTCTTTCTTCGGTATTGTTGATCTTGTGACTGTCGCGCCGTTTTGGATACAGCGCCACGGCTGCATGCGTATTAAAAATTGCATGTTGATTTCTTCGGCATGCAACATGTGGCCTTTCTCTATCCAGGACGGTGATGTGGCTCAGTGGGTTGCAGGCTACGCTTGCAAATCGCGATAGTAGTCTGCTGTGTCATGCATGCATCAGCCCACCCTCCTGGTGATCACCCTGAAAGTTCAACGCATTCATCTTCCGCATCGCGCGTCTACTTCGCATTCTCCAGCTGGAAGATTTCGTTGAGAGCTTCACGCTGCTGGACGATGCCTGGCGCAGCTGCAGAGAAACGATGGTTGCAACCGGGTCTGCCCCTGACAAGCTTGTACAAAAAAAACATGGCATTGGACCTCGGGGGTGCGGCGTGCAATTTGATGCAAGGTTCATGGCACTGCTAGTGTGGATATGTGGTGCGGTGCTCTTCTATGAGTTCGAGCAGGCACATGCCTCCTTGAACCGTCGTTTCAAGGAACACGTATGGAACGAAGGACAATCCTGCCATGGATGGTGCCTTCAAGGACAGTGTCGGTCTGCGGGTCTGCCCTCATACGTTAACCATCGTTAACATACCTTCAATGTGGCAGTTGCAGCCATTGAAGGATCTGCCGTCCAGCATGTGCCCCCCCCGGTGTTCTGCACTCCACTATGCAGCATGCGCTTTCGCTGGTATCAGGAGGTTGAAGAAGAACCAACCCGAGGTATTTTACCATCATCTTCTTGGGCGGGGAGTGGGCGATGATTGATTTTACTTCAGGCGCACATGCTGAATTATCGCAGGAGCATGTTCAATGTTCCAACCCTCGCGCAGGTGGAAAGATTGTCTGTTTAGTGTACTGTGCGCAGTTCTCGGCTTTCTGGTGGTGAGACATGGGACGTTAAGCTTGCCATCTTCGAAAGCCTGAAGTCCGAGGTTGTTGGTATCGGGCTACTTGGCAGCCAGCCTTCGCTTGCCAGTTAAATCGTGCTGATGCGCTGCAGGGCTGCGGGCTATTTAATTATAGCAAGGCAGCACACGGGTCTTGTAGGGTGCCAAACTGCAACGTGACTGCAGGCTGTATGGCATCCCTATCGGTGCCGTGTTCGAGGCATTCAGCGACGTCCTAGCAGCTGTGGGCTCAGGACGTGCAACTATATGGAAGAACACAGTGCAGCGCTGCCAAGGACAAGGAGGACGAGCAGGACGAGTCTGCAGAGGCATGAATGGTCGCGGAAGCGTCAGCATGATGCCGACTTGGTCCTGAGTGAGTTCAAAGATAACTTGCAGGTCTCACTCACGTTTAAATTTTTCAGTCGGAGAGAGCAAGAGAGCTTTTGCACTCCATCTCGCCAACCAAAACAAGTGCTAAGTTCCAAAGTCATGTCCGACAGTGGTCAAACCATAAATCTGCTTCCCAACCGCCATCAATTGTGCATGGTCGGAGAAGCCATCGATTCAGATTGCGACTTGTGCAACCGGAGCACAAAAAGCCTCGAGTTCGGGTGCTCCTGCAGAGTCTGAGCCATCTTCTGCCATCAGATGTCACTCAACCAGGACCCAGCATGTCAAGACTTGCGCCGTCGACTGGAGAAAGCTGAGCAAGAGGCAATGCATGGCAAGCGAGAGATTTGGCTGGAACATGCTGGAACCGAGCACTCCGAAAGCAGGCTCGGCTGGCACGAGAGCGGGAGTTGCCTTCTCAGCTGCCCGTGCAGCCCACGCCCTGTGTGTCCGGATTTCGGGAAGCTGCTGCGAAGAGATCCGACGAGACATGCAGGGCTTCTAGTCCAGATGCCACTAGCAAGCCATGAGAAATGAAACTGTGGAATCCAGTTGAAGAAGCTTTACGCTTCCATCCGTTAATTCTTGCCTGAAGATTCGGCGATCCTGGGTTGCATGCCGAACCGTTCAGAGCCCAAAGACTTGAGGTTGCAGGCTCATGTTTCCCACCTTGGTTTGTTCCTGAATCGCCTTAGCCGCGGCGCTGCTGCACCCAGCGCAGTCAAATGCGGCACACACTGTCTGGGCAGCCACAGCGTGCAGGACGACGCGAGTCTCAAGCAATGAGCGTATCGTTCAGAAGGCCTCGCGCAGCCAGCGACCTACCGACAACTGCCCTCAGCTGAGAATGGCTTCAAATCTTGAGGCGGCTGGAGGAGCATACTGTGGTCACAAGGAAATTGTTAATCATGCAAAGCCCGAGAACGCAGCGACCGAAACATGAGTATCGGGAGAAGATGCTGAATGTGCGAACTCGACAGGAAGCGTAACCACTGGAATGCGTGCATGGTGCCACAATTGGAGGAAGGCGAAAGACGACTTCGTGGCCCGATCGGAACACACTACCCAAATCTCACAACACTGCCGCGGACATCCGCGTCGCCGTTTTTGTCAAACCCGCAGTATGCAGTGCTCCAAGACTGGTTGCCACTACCAGGGAAGGACTTCTGGGTGTCAGCCTGGAAATGAGAAATCGCGCAGGAGCCAACGAGACGCAAGCAAGACCTTGGGTAGGACAGCTTAAGTCCCAAAGGATGTACGAGCATCGCTCAGGCTACGCAGCATTGACCAGATCACTCGTTGGGACTCTTCCATTTTTCATGTCGACATGTCCAGGGGTCGACCTATATGAATTTTCACTGCATCCTTTCTGTCGTGAAGGACAGCAAGCGGCTGCACTGCGAAGAGGCATGTCTCGAGCTGTTGCCCACACGAGCACCTTCCACCCACATCACTGTGTGGCTCAGAGGCCAGCGAGGGCGCAGCGACCCGAGCCGTGCATGCGGCTGTCTAGCTGTGGTACCAGTCTTGAAGTGAATGCCCCACCAGCTCAAAGGTGGAATTGCTACGACTGTCCTTGGACAATGTAAAGGCAAGGAGTCGCGAAAAGTGCGATGACGATCCACGGCATCCACGACATATTGGAGATCGTAGATACTTCTCATGCGCAGAGGCTGAGCTAAAGCGGCTGGAGCATGAAGCCTGCACCTCGTTAGGGTTCGCCGGGAGGGCCTGTTTGGAGTAACTCTCCCGGCCGCATCCGACTATAAGGCACAGCCAGGGCGCTCCTGGCTTCATAGTCTTCGTGAAAGGCAGATGACAAGTCAGGACTGCTTGAGGTCTTCGTAGATTCAGAAGTCAGAGCCGAGCCACCTTGGCAGGAGAATGCCAGACTCAGCGCATCTCGCTTGACAACTCTGAAGGCGTTCACTGGACCGTGTGACGGTGCGTGAGACGGAAGCTTCTTTCCTCTTCCTTCGTGCAAGGCTCAGTATCCGCAGCGAGCCGGGCACTAACTGGACGTGTCCTGAATGTCACATTCGTTTCCGACTGCTACTTGCTGACGAGGTCGCAGAAATGAAAGCATCACAGGCTGCCTTAGCACTTTTGGGCTTGACGATGAAGACATCTCCGATCCCCGCGGACCAGGTGCAAGAAATCGCAGACCTACGCAGTGCGCAGGCTGAGGCAAGGCACGCACAAGGTGACATGTACTTGGTGTCATCGTTGTCGCGAGGAGCTTCTGAAGCTGGAAGTTGATTGGACGACACAGGCAACGCCCAGCGGCTCGCAGACGTGCTGGCATAAAGCTCGTCCAAGGTCAGCAACAGATGTAACAGAAGCAGAACAAAAGGGCTTACAAGCCCCTTGACAACACTCCATGCAGAGCTTGTGGAAGCATGTCAATGCGGAGGCAAGGATTCGGAGGGCTGAGGCTGAGGGCTTCTTTTGCAAGCTTTTGAAGCGTCTTCGGCCCAAGCGTGCGAGATCGTCACAGCCACCATAATCAGAACGTAAGCATGCTGCAGAAGCCACTGGCCGTGCATACGACCGACACGTCTTCGGATCCTTGGAGGTGCCATGGAATTGAGTCCAACATGTGCTCTTGAGGCCGAGCAACGACAGCCTTGATGTGGGCAATTCTTTGCCTGCTAGGCCAATTGACCAAGCTCTGCTATTCAACGAAGCCTCTACCTGCAAGTCAAGATGACTTCTTTGACCTGCTTCCGATCGAGTACCCTTTCCAGGCACCACAGGTTGGAATCGACCCTGTGGCAGGGCGGCTTCTGGCCGCTTGTGGCAGTGTTCAAAATCTGACAGCTCTGGCCATCGCCGCGTCGCAACTTCACAGTTTCAATGTCAAGCCCGATGGCTCCTATGACCTGACACTGCCCCAGTTTGATTTGGAGTTGAATCCTGCAGAAGTGTCTGAGCTGTTGGGCACGTGCCGGCAGTTGTTCGACAGCTATGCCCAGCTGGCAGCCGTAGACTTCGAGGTAAAGCTCCGGTGCACGGCGGAAAATTCAAACTGTGCTGCTCAGTCAGTGGCGGTCCTCCGAAAATCAGCAGATCTCTGCCAAACTCCGTGCCATGGTCACCACTACGGCGACTACGGCATGAATCGTCTGACCATTTCCGATGTCGCCGAACGCTCTGCTGCCCGCATGTGTTCTATTGTCGCGGGCTTCTGCCGATCTCTTCAAGAGAGCCAAGCTGGGGTGACCGGCATTGCGGGCTTTGCTGGGCAAGCTGCAGCCGAGATTCGCATATTTCTGGATCATGCCTTCCATGTTCTTTCGTTCTTGCCTATTGGTTTGCGTGCGTTGCAACCTTTCTCGGATCTATTGGAGCACGGCTCCCCAGCTTTTCGGCATGTTCCAGTCGCCGGCTTGCGTTGGGACGTCCTCCTGCACATTCTCGCAAGTTTCGGCGCGGCAGAACGTTCCAGGGGCCTTCGTGTAGCTGAGATAGGGGTCGAGAAGGGCATGACCGTCACCTTCCTGATGAAGCACGAGCCAGCTATAGTGGACTATTATCTGGTGGATCCCTGGCATGTTCCAGGCAAGCCCCAGGAAAGCAATGGTGTGCTCCAGTCGTACTATGAAAACCTGGAAGCCTGGTCCAGTCAGGAGCCAGCTTTCCAGCGCAATGGCCGCAAGGCAGCCCACGTCCTGCGCCAGAGTTCAGAGGAAGCAGCAGGCCAGCTTCTCACCGACTACTTTGACCTGGTCTTCATTGATGCAGAGCATACCTTTGAAGCTGTCCGCCGAGATATCCAGGTCTGGAAACGTCGAGTGCGACCCGGTGGTATCCTAGCAGGTCATGACTTTTCCTTATTTCACCCCGCAGTTTCTTTGGCGGTTCTGGTTGAGTGTGGACCGCTGAGCGATGATACTGGCCGCTTCCCGCTTCAGTCGGAACTGGAGAAACCCATCATCCACCTGTCTGCAGATTCTGTCTGGTGGGTGCAGAGAGCTTGAGCCACTGACCGTCAAACGAAGCGGCGGTGCAGCTGTGGCGCAGTTGCCAGACGCTATCCGCTATCGGCCCTAGCACTGCGAGTACAGATGGCGTCTTGCGGGCGATCAGAGGCTATGCCGGATAAAATATGGGATCCGAGTTGGATCGAAGCCTTACTCAAAGCAGTTCAGATTACCATCTGCTCCACACCTGAACCTGAAGCTGTAGATTCCATTAACCCATGTGATCGGTTGCCGAAATATCCACAAGCCCCATTTTCCCAGCTACGAAAATCCTGTTGCTCAACGTGATTTCACAGTGGCACTCAGTGGGGGAGGAAAATCATGTGGTTCAGAATGGCCCTGCCCGGACTCAAGATACTTCAAACTTTTGAACGAGAGGCAGAATCACTGCATGCACCCCAGGAACGCCGCGTTGGCACCACAGCCTGTGTGAGAGTCGTAGCTGAAGGTAGCAGCTCCACGATGCAGTGTTATCACACAGTGTGTGGTGTGGAACGAAATAGGCAAAAGCGCCGTCAGCCAGGCGGGGGGGCCGGGGGTGCGCGGGTGTTGCAGGCTGTAAGCGGAGGTTCGGGAAGCGAAATGCCGTGCTTCCGACGTTACCCCCCTTAATTGCAAGTCTGCTTCGCTCTACGTGAAGGCAAACAAAATGCAGATTTGTGCTCCCAAACAACTCTAATCTTGTTTGTTTGGATGTGCCTGTTCTCCATTGGAACGTCACTTGGGGTCTTGGAAAAGCAGGCCGAGAAGATCGTGGTTTCAGTTTTTGGAGTGGTTGCGCACTCGGCAACGCTGCGCATTGGCAAGATTGGTCTGATGGGATTGGGCATGCAATGCCCGAGGAACACACGTGCTGTGGTCATGCTTGAACAGATACGATGCGTTCGACACGAGTTTTGATCATTTCAGTGTTAATCGCACCCCAGCGATAAGCTGAAAAAGTGTGCCTCGTTGTCGAGTGCAGCTTTCACAGCTGGAAAGTGCGCTGCAGCATCACATGCAGTGGTGAGCTTGTAAGGCCACTGATGTGGTTCCACTAGTTTGCAGCAATGTTCTGCTGCGCCAGGGCTGCCCCCCTCGAACTCTTCATTGTGTGATATGGTCGTTGAAGTTTCGGCTGCTTACTGTCACTTACACTGTGTAAAACAACCTTGTATTTCCGTACGATCCATGTGCGGAAACATGGGAAATGATATGCCGTACCTTGTCATGGATGTGGTGCCCCCAGGCATCGGAGGGGCGTTTGTCAACCAATACCTCTCGTAGTCCTTCAGACATCCATTAATGGTTCAAGCGATACAGGAACAGGTCAGACCAGTACCCTGCCAAACCGTCATAACTCTTGACCAAACCGAGCAAAAAGGAGCACGGACTGCAAAGGCCGGTCGAGAGCAGTGCCCGCTGAAACCACCAAAAGTCCGTTGGGCCTCATGAGATGCGTAGATATTGAGGCAAAATCAGCCCTTTGCGGCAATGAGGGCAGCCATTGGTTTCATGGTTCATTGATTTTGGTCTTATTGTCGTTTCACGGTCTCGGGTGGACTTGGTATCTCTTTCGACGCATGCATGGAAAACTGCTCGGGCTTAAAGGGTTTGAAGACTTGAAGGGCTTGTCTTGATGAGGCTTTGATGTACGGCAGTCCCCTGCAATACGTGGGGCGGCCATGGCTGTATTCGTGAGTTTTACGTGTAAGTTCAAGTAACGTGTTGTTGTGGGAGTGTGGTTGCGTGGTTTCGCGGAGTAGTCTGTGATTAAATGTTTCAGCCAGTTCGTTTTCAATGGTTACGTGGTCTAACAGATGTGCAGGGCTTCGTCTGCAGCACCACATCGGAGCGAAACGAGAGTATTTGCTTCAGAGTTGTTCAGGGTTGCTACTGCCATGATTTGCCATGTCTGGTTTGGGAAAAGTGGGCGGGGACGGCATAGGGCTCGGTCAGGCCCTTCACCTCTCGGGGTTCCTCGGGATGACAAAAAAAGCAGCCCCGCCCTAAACAATGTGGGTTGTCGTAGTCTTGATGAGACCGCCGCCGGAAGCTGAAGACTCGCCTGGTCCTGCCCAGCTGCGACTGCGAGTGCCAGAAACTTTGCAGGTGTCAGACATGAAGTCCAATCATTCCGAGGATGTCCGGAGCCGGACACTCACGGTTGGCAGTCAGTTGGTACGTGTCGCTCGCTCCCGTCAGCGCATCCTAGAGCCGTGGGAGACGATTTTGACCGGTGCCAGGCTTGAAGCAGAGCTTGGAGGAGACGACACGCCGTTCCCAGAGGTCCCGACCACCAGCCCACATCTCCTGCGTAGATGCCACAGCTGCTGACCAAGGATGACCCGTGATCGGGATGATGCACGTGAGCAAGCTGTTGCGAGACAGCGAGAGGCTGTGGCAGCTGTCTGGGTACAAGTTTCAGCCACGTTTTTTGTAGGGGTAGCCGGGCAGACAAGAAGGGGCCTGCTACCTAGATCATATAGTATATATATATATATATCTATATCTATATCTATATTTTTTGGCTCCCAGTTGGCAACGTCCACAGACACTGTGCATGGCCGGTGTCACTCGTACACTCGTTGCCGGGGCTGCAAAGAAGTGGAAACTGAACAAACGCGTTTTTGTGTAAAAGCGAGAGCGACAGATGATTCGACATAACCACTACTCACCTAGATGTCAACTCGACAAGACTAGAAATCACGGAAGAGTCAAACTATGGAAACAACGATATGGTTTATTCTATCTATCTGGTTGGTGATTGATACTTCTGCGAGATCTGTTGCAGTTGTTACTCATGTGTGAGGCTTAGTAATCCCGGTTGAACATATGGGCATGTCTAAACTGATCTGTTCTGAGACGACCACTGGTACCAGAGTATTCAATAACAGAATGTTTCGAAAACCTGTAGATGCTTTGGTATAGGGTTTAGGGTTCAGGGCTTTGGTATGGGGATCTCCGGCAAGAGCGCAGGCGCGCAACACCACATGTGAAGAACGAGACCAAAAAACCAAACATCCAGTGAGAATGCCGGAACTGTTTTGTTTGTTTGGTTCTTTCGTTTTTTTGGTCTGGGTTTTACAGGATTTGACTATGCAGAGCCAATGGCTCGTAGCAATCGGAACACCAAGACCAAAAGACCAAAGCACAAAAAATAGCAAGAAGCAACGCACCAAACAAGTTCCAGCATTACCTTTGCCTTTTTTGTTCTTTGGTCTCAGGCTGGGGTTGGAAGCCCCACGAATACAGACCAACAAAGACACACAAATATCAATGCATTTCCGCCATTCTTTGCGGATCTTTGCTGTTTTTTCGGTTTTTTTGTTTTAAAGCCAGCCGAAAGCAGGGCTTGAATCTCGAACCCACGAAAAAGGCCGGGCGGGGTTTTTAAAGGGGTGGTCTGTCATAGGGGGGGGGGGGTGACCATATATGTGTATATATATAGAATATGTAATGTTTGTGTTTTATATGTATATGTGTGTGACCTAGTCGAGCGCAAGTGCCAAAATATGTGTGTGTATGTGTGTGTGTGTATGTATATAGATCATACTTCCAAGAGTTAGATGACGACTTGACACACAGTCTGTGCTGGCGCAGGGCTCGCGTCTTCAGCAACAATGCGCATGGCTTAGCTGTGTTGTCGAGAGGGCGGCAGCTGGCCGCTGCTGGCCTGGTTGCACGGCGTGGAGACAGCAAAAGACCCAAGGTGCTGACGCCCGCCACGAGGTCCCGCTTGCCAAATGTGCTCGCATTCGGTTAGTCATGGTTAGTCGGTGATAGAAGCATTGCCGAGGTGCTCGAGATGTCGGCCCAGGTTCGCCTGATGCATCCGGTGCTGCCCTCGGGCATTTCGAGTGCTAGAGGAACTATCGCAGCGCGCTCGCGAAAGAGAGCGTAGAACTTTGAGGCGCCCGGACCCGGGCAGGGTTTGACAAGGTCCGTTTCTGCCCGGCCCTCGGCCCACAGAGCCCGCAGACCTGGGCCGGGCACGCGGGCCGGGCATTCAAACGAGTCGCCCTGCGGGCTGCGGGAGGCTTCCTTCCTCGATTCTCCGCTCCTCTCCATCAAGGCTTTCATGCCCTTTCTGTGCCAGCTCCCAACCTTGACTTGAGTGTGCAGGATGCCCAGTGCACAGATGCTGAGATGCTCGACTTGAGGCACCTCTCATCACTACAGTTTCAAAACAGAGCGTTTGTCTTTGTCACCTCCTTGGCATAGGTTTGCCACGCAGGCATTCTTCCATCTCGCTTGTGTCTTCTGGTTGTGATGAGCTGTACATATCCGGCATTTATAATCTCCAGGAGTCCGTCCAGGGATCAAATTTTTCATGTTTGGAGGTGACGGGATCGAGGATTTCTGCATCAACTGAGAGCTGATGGGTTGGCAGGGTCAGTGTGTGAAATGAGGGCCCGGCCCCACCAGCAGGTGGCGAAGATAGCCGCTCGTTTGCTTACATTGCTTACAAGGCAGTCAAGTTCAACTTAACTTCACGACTTTGTCCAGTATAAGGCCCCAGACTAACGAACTCAGCACTTGGAATGCGATTCCTGCCAAGCTCTGCCAGGCAAAGATGCAAGGAATTGGAGCGGCAGTGTACCAGGCTCTGCATGCAACACACACGCACACAAAGCACATACGCACGCACATACATCCGCGGAGAAACACATCGGACGAGCCCGCCCGCCCACCCACCCACCCACCCACCAAAGGTTTCCGATGATGGCTCTTCATCTGCCAGGCTTCGTAAACGAGTCACGAAGCTTCAAATTGTGCAGCAGCAATGGCAGTTGACAAATTTTTGGTTGTCAGACGGGCTGCTGTTTTTTCGTCGAGCCCGAATTTCGAGGTCAGCTTCTGTCTGGAGCGATCCTGTTTAATAAGCTCTTGAGCGGTAGCCACATGCTTTTCCAGCATGGTGAACGGCTTAGATTTCAAAGATTGAAGACAGTCTTCAAAATGCTGATCTGTCGCCCCTTGCGGGCGAAACTCCAGTTTGTTCTTGGGAGGGCTTGTCAAACGTTTCCGGGCTTCCTCCTCTGTCGAGTCTTTGCTCGACTTTGCTCTCTTCGGAAGCTTGGGATTCGAATCAGACTGCAAAGGTAAGAGTCCTTCATTATTCGAGAGATCGCTGGAGTGAGCATCCCTTTTATCAGGGGTCAGTGCTAGTCCATGAGCTGCAAGTTTGGCTTTGGCTTTTGCCAGAGGCTCAGATTCGTCGTGGACGGTTTTGCTGGAAGCTTGGCTTTCATGTGATCCACCAAATCGGACGACAATCTTTGCACGAATTTGATGGCTTCCTTGTGCTTGTCGGGAATTTCATCCGTAAAGAAAGTTCGAGCCACTTCGTCGGTCGATATGGAGATCCAACTCCCTGATTCTGTTTCAGAAGTTGAGTTGAAAAAAAAACGGCTTCCGATGCGGATCGGGTCCAAACAATTCCTTGGTACCGCCCTTCGCTCAAAAGACGACATGAAGCTCAGACGGACCTCTGTGGCACAGTTGCTATGCTCGAATGTCCTCTACGGCTACGGGACGTCCCGCCAAGCTTTGCTTGCGGCTCCACTCAGTAAGTTGAACTTCTCGAAAAATTGATGGCCTTGTTTGCCTACTGGCTGATGATCCCAAAACTTCTCGTCACGGTTAAAAGGCACTGGAAGAGTTGGCTTCGGGCTTGTAGGCGTTGCAGCAGCGGGCAACGTAGGAGGTTTCGATGACTTTTTAATTTTCCAGGTGGAATCGCTGCTGTTTGTTGTTGGACCGGCTTTGCCAGTCATCCGAAGACCAACTTTGTTGCCAAGTGTTGGATCGATCATTCCAGTTCTTGCCGTACGTACCCATCAGACATGGCTTCGCAACAGAAGAAATCGGTGGGAGGACATAATAGCAGATGAGGCTCACACTATTCCTGGCGACAGATCTAAAGGCTGAGCGAATGCAATGCTCTTTTGCTTGGAGCAAGACAGAAAGGCCAGCCTGATAGCTACTCGTTCAGGAGCCACTAGGCAGTTGAATAATGAGTTCTTCCAGGTCCTTGGCTGGGCCCGGTTGCCATAAAACTGAAAAAAGCAGGTACACAATGGGGATTAACCATTGTATCCACTCCAGTGACTTGGCTTCGTTNNAGGCTTGTCACTGGAGCCCTTGCCCCCCCGCTGAAATGACACTGCATACCGGAAGAGCATTCATGTTCTATCCCTTTGTGACAGGGTTCCATACACACACACACACCCACACACCCACACCCATACACCCAAAAAGCCACACACCCGCACCCACACCCACCCACACCCACCCACACCCACGCACACTCACGCACACCCACGCACACCCGCGCACACCCACGCACACCCACGCACACCCACGCACACCCACGCACCCACACACCCCGTGTACTTACGCATAGAAAAAAACATACATTCAGAGTATGTGCACCAATCCGCACGATTCGCCATGTGTCCATACGATCAGGATGCACAGCCTGCTGGAGAGGGGACAAGAGGTCCCGCGATCGTGTGTGTCTGTTCGGGTGCTTGCCAAAGTCTGACAGAGTTTGTCACCGATCGTCATGCATCCGTGCTTGTACAGCTCAGGGTGTCGGCACAAATATTGGCTTCAGACCCATACCCTGGGCAGGCCTGTGAACGGTGGCGCCGTCAGGGGATAAGTTTGGATCCAAGCTTGCCTTCCCGGGACTGCAGCAGTACAATATGTGCCAAACGGAAAGCCACAAGGGCAATTTGAGGGTTCGCACTTCAGGTGCAGCTGCTGCCGGCATAGACAGTGCCGACGATGCTGGTGGGCGACCTGAGCCTTTTGCGCCAGTGCCTCGCCATCCGCACTCGCGATCGCAGTGGGCCGGTTCAAATCATGAAAGCGCGAGGCTCGGACCGCGAGATTCCATGGAACCAGCCAGGACCGGAGCTCACGATGCTCGTGTGTGTGTGTGTGTTAGCCGAAGATGTTGTGCAACTTTCGTTGACCAGGACTGAAGGCCCTGCTGCCTTAGAGTGGGCCCGTGAGGATAATGTATCGTCAATTGGCTCTTTTCTGCTGCCGAAAGAATGCACATCTCGAGATGATCTCGCAAGTTGCACCCATCCTCCTTCTGCGCATTGTATTTGTTGCTTCCGTCGCTGAGCAAGGCTTGGTACGCAGGGACGGGTCGGGTGAGAGGTGGATCAGGTTTCAAATGAATTCCGAGAAACTTCACGCAGCATTGCATCAGCTCTTGGGCGTCTGTTTGACAGCACATGGGCCTCACATGCCGACTGCCGAGCCTCGCTCGTTATGGCCAGCTGGAGCCACCTGCTCAGAAGACCAGGCTTTCCCGACGCCATGAAATTCATGACGATTTGATGCTGGCCGAGGTCGTGCCGATCGTTGGCGCATCGTCCTCAACACTGTTCTTGGAAGCTGTGGCAGTGGGATGGCCCATGGGGCCTAGCCATGAAAACAATTCTGACAGCCCAAGATTCATGATAGTTGCTGTGCAGTTGTCGCTGCAGAATTATTTCGTATCCAGTCGTTGTGGAGCCTTGCCTGGCGCGAGTTCGAGCGTCTGCTGTCCAGTCACCAGGTACCGGACCCGTTCTAGAGTGTTTTCGATTTCATGCGTCTTCGGCCCGTGACATCTAAACTTTAAGCCCAAACCTTTCAGTGAATTCTTGAAACAGACATCCGGACACTGAGCTGCAAAAGTACCGGAGATTGGGGCGACGTGGGCGGGGATTGAGGGCGTTACGAGGGTGGGGGGTTGGGGGTGGGGGGGGGCAGGGCAGACAGAGAATTCCCAGGCTGATGCAGAGGAAGATCGAATCGAATTGGAGGCTGGCAATTCACGTAAGCAAAGGGCTGGGCAGATTTTGTCATCTTTGGTGAGGCATGGTGTCGAAGATTCTTCGAAGAGCAAGTGGCTTACCGAAGCTGACCGGTCATCCTGCAAGCCGTTGTGACATTCCTGTTGCGAGTGGCGAGGTGTGAGGCCAGTGCTGCTGGCTCTGAGTACGGAGCGTGTCTGTCTTACAATTTCTTGACATCTGGCTTTTGTTGCGATCTCTGTACACTTTCAGAGTTGGAGGGTAGCCGTGATGTTTTTGGTGGCAGCAGTTGAGTCTTGCAGTGACAACCAGGTCAGATGCCGAGTCGCTCTTGAGCAACACGTCCGGTCCACAAGACGGCCAATCTGGAGACTTGCCTGAGTTTGACCAAGCTACCACAAACATCAGGCCTTCCACCACGACGAAGGCGGAGCGCCATGGTGCACGCCGCATGGCACCGAGAGAGCTATCGAACCTTTTGCTCAGATCTGTCAGCTTTGGCATCATTCTTTATCAGGTCGTCGATGGAAGGCTGTAGCAGCTGCAGCTGCGGTATTCATGGCAGCATGCCCGGACGGTTGCGACAGTACCACGAACAGCACTTGTTTCGAGACTCGGTTGACAAACTAGGTAGTCCTGCTAGTGGCTTGGATGGTCTGGAAACAAGGAGGCGCGGGATTCACACATTGAGCTGAGTTCAATATTTTCCTTTCGTGCTTTGCTGCAGGTGTACCGAAGCAGATGTCCCAGGCACACTTTGACTCGTGCTGAGTTCAACGGCAAGCAGAGTCCACCGAGAGCCAGGCAAAAGGGCAGATCCATGCGATTCCGGAATTGCAAGACTCTTTCGAAAACTGGCTTGAAGCTGAGACTGCTTGCAGATGTTTTTTTGCTGGTGCGTTTATTGCGGGCCATCTCGACAGGAAGCTGCTCGTTCTGCGGTACACTTTGTCGTAGATTCTGGCATAAGTCAGAATGTTCAACGACATCACGTCCTGTTTGTGTGCCTCGTGAAGTTTGCATAGGCTGCTGCTGACGTACAACCCTGCCCGAGGCTAATAACTTGCATTTCGATGATGGTATGATCAGGTTCAAGCATGATACGTCATCCTCAAAACTGCAGCTGTTGCCTCCATTATCGCAAAAACCTTCGCAGCTTTGCTTCCCCTTTTTCCTGTTCAGTTGAAGAGCTGTTTGCGCCTTCGTCGTTCTACATCTGATGACGGCATCATGCCGTGCAGTGCGAAGCACAGGCACAAATGGGCACAAATGTCATGTTGGCAGCCAGCTGCCAAAACATGTGCCGAGGTTCGTTCAATCTCGGCCAGAGTCAACCTCAACGACGGCGACACCATCATCATCATCAACAACAACAACAACAGCATCATCATCAACATCATCATCATCATCATCATCATCATCTCTGCATCAGCATCAAGATTCCACCAAGCCGAGCACACAGATGCCGACGATTGCTGGAGGCACGGATGAGGTTGTCATCTTGCATTAGTCTGCCTCTTGTTCTTGTTCAATGTCGCATTGTCCAGCGCGTTATGCTTCGAGTTTCGTCACCTCTTCAATCATGTTCAGGCGTGACTTCTGCAGCGGTCACCACTGACACAACTACTTCATTGACCTCTAAAGCCGTCCCCGAAGTCTGCGGTGATCTGGGAGAAGGCTTTGTTCTCACTGGAGACAGAGACGTCAAGTGGCAGACGTCCTTGTGTTCCCTGCGTTAGCTTACTGGAGACGAGGTCGTTTTCCTGCGGTGCCTGCTGCTGACGCATATGTGCATGCCTTAGGCTACTAACGTGGTTCTGCCGAAAACGGCCAGCTCCATGGCAAGGTCAATCAGTACGACCCGCACAACCAGTTGAGGAAAATGCCTCGGGGCAGACTGCAGATCATGTTGTACTGGTGCTGGTACTCATCCCGAGTCGATTCACTGGCAGGATCGCAGCTGATCCGCGCAGAAGCAACAACTACTTCATAGTCATTGGTGATTGGGGAAAGGCTTTGGATTCCGGGGGGTCACGGCCTGAGCACCGACTAAGCGAACCTTGGCTTGGGCTCGCATGACTCAGGCCCGGCAGTTGCCAGCTGAAAGTGGCGGAGCTGGTGAAGAGCCCGGGGCCCTGAGGGATACCCTGCTGAGTCACAGACGAATCGGCCAGTTGCTTTCTGGCTCAGCAGAGGCTATGTCCGAGCACAAAGACAGGCGAGCAGGGTGAGTCCTTGGCTAGTTTTCCAATCATCGAGCTCGGTTTGTTTTGCGTAAGGCCGGCAAGACTTTGCTCTTCGTTGCTTCAGTCGCAGACTCGGTGCTTGTGTGGAGTGAGGCCTCGCCGGTGTGATAATCGCGGCTCGATGCCATGTTCTAGAATCTAGAAGTGCCACATTCGCCACATTTCGCCTGTACGGCATCGTGGGATGCTGTCTTACAAGCTGCGTCGGAACTCGAGGTCGGAGACAACTTCTATTGGACTGGGGTCACGCCAGAGGCCAGTTACAGGCCAAAGCGACTTAAGGGCAGCAGCGGGGTGCCAGGCATGGAAAGTGGCATGGGCCGAGCACGGACCCCCAAAAGGGATTTTTCGGGCAAAACCAGATTGGCTGTCGGCAGTCTTGGAGAACAGAACCTCGGCCTCAGGCCGTATGGCGTCAATGATCAGACCTCACCGCTTTTTCAGGCACGGATAGCTGCGATGAGAGCGCTCAGAGCACAATTCAGCCTTCGAGAGGGCTGGGGGCTTCTGCAGCATGAAGCGCGTGCAAACATTCTTCAGCCCTTCTTCCTGCTTCCGGTTCCCTTCCCGACTTTCTCTGGCGTTTGCTCTCGTAAAGCAGCAGAGAAGAGCAGCCTGAGAAACTCCAATCGATTGTGTTCCAATCCCCTCGCAGCACCAGTTCCTCGATGCGATGTCTGCGTGCCAAGACACGGCAAGAGTTCATGGCCAATTTGCTCTTAGGGACACCCGTACAGATTGCCGGAATGTTGTGGCAAGCCTTTCATGAATGAACACAGGTGCACTGGTGGTGCGCCTTGATTTGGGTCAGATCTACGAACATTTGATCCGAGATTGGCTTCGGGGTTCTACATATGCGGAGGCGAGTCGGCTACACAGGCGAGTGGATGTCCTCATCAGGGTTGGCCACAGGACAATTAGCACTCCTCGCCTTGGCTTGTCGCAAGAAGATCACCTAACTGACCTAACTAAGAGAAGCAGCGCTAGAGAGGCATCCGATGGAGTGCCTGAGTTCCAAGGTATAACACGGTTGTTCCACTGAGCCTAACCTGGCAGTTTGAGTCTGTCTTCGGCAGTGCGAGCTGAGCTAAACGTCTTTGGCCAGGTTCCCTGGCTGGCAGTCTATGGCAACCACGACTTCGGTAGCCATGACCCATACGCCTTTTGTCCACATGCCATGGCCTTAATTGTACACAAAGCCCAACGGCTCAAGCCGCGTGTTTCGTTTGGCTCTGAGGTACAGCCGAAACATATTCTGGGCTTTCAGGCACTCGTCTCTTCTGCCATCTCTTACGCTTGGTACTTGGTAGCTTGGTACTTGGTACACCTTTGCAGTTGAAAGGCTTACTCGGGCAATCAGCTCAACAAGGACGTTTGCACAGACGCTCGCATGCAGCTTTTGCTTGCATCCCAAGCATCAATCGCAGGATCGCAATCCCCATCGCCCAGAATGGACGAGGCACGCTGGCAAGACAGATGGACCGCTTTCGTGCTGTAAGCTTCTACAGGCAGTTCTGGCTTCCCGACTACAATTATCACTACGAGATCCCTGATGCCGACTTGGAGGTGCAGCTTCGCGGTGTCCTTACCGCCTCAGTGCAACCAAGCAAGGTCATTGCGGTTGACACAAATGGTGCCGTGGATGCCAACGGCCAGCTCCTAATGGATGGCGCGATTGGCGGAGACGCGCCGAGACCTTAGAGTGAGCAAAGCAGAGCCTTTAAAGAGCCCATACACATGAAATGATACCTGAAAGGAGAGGTCGGCGGTGTGCTGACCATCTTTGCGGAGGCTCTGTTTTGCTGCGGCCCGCTTTGCAGTGCATCACTCTTTGTGGTGCATAACGGACCCACCCGGAGTTTCGTTATGGAAGGTCACAACGTTTCCCAAGACTTCTTGCGCAAAGTCGCACGAGCAACCAGCTCAGAAACACCTCCAAAACTCGGCATTTTCAAGCCGCCCTTCTCTGTGGTTGGCGTGCACTTGCGAAGGCTGGTCAAGAACTCGTAAGAGAGCGGGCCAAGAAGAACACCGCTCCTTGCTTGCACCACCGATCTCGGAATCTTGGCATGCTTTGGTTTACCCGCGACCTGTCGTTGCAGGTTGGCACAGTTCTGCTCATCCAGCACTATCCGGGCCTTTGCCCACGAGCCATTTTTGAATTAGTTCCAGCCTTGGTGGGAAGTCATAACTCATGACATTTCTTGCGAGAGAACCTCCAGAGAGGCGCTACCGCCTGCACGCAGAGGGAAGGCTGGGATGACTTGGCGCCGGTATGGAGGGCGATGACGCTTTCCTCTCAACAGCACTTAGCTGTGTGCCGAAGCTTTCTGGTGCAAGACATGTGCACACATGAAGTCCAACCAACTTCAAAAGACTATGCGTTGACAGATGCATGATGACCACGGTGTCCTAGCTAATACGATCTTCTTGATCCGGCCAGCAGCATTGAAGCTAACGTACAGCATTCCCTGCACCCAAGATGTTCGACTCATCGATTGATTTCATGTGTCCGTAGGAGCGCAGCTAATTCAGGCTAGCTTTCTCAGATCAGGGAGCGGGCTGCGGCTATGGCTCTCACCATCGACCTGGAGTCGCTCCCAGTCCTGATCGTCCCGGGCAAGCACAGGCTCCTTCTGAAGGACCTGTTTTGTTTTTGCAGTTCTGGCATTTCACAAACCGCATTTCAATGTGAAGTCTGATATTGCAGGACTTACAACATGTAAGAATACAGGCTTCCGGCAATCGGAAGGATTGGCAAACGCGATGTCCTCAATGAGCTGTGAATCGCAGTCGCGTTTCACATCTGACAACGTACTCCGAGGATGTATGTGACGGAGACTGCCATGTTGCGTCAGTGCGCAGATCATGCTGTGAAACATTACTCGTACTGTAAGTTACAATCACTTGCAAGGACTCGCAAGTTCGCTAGGTACCTCAACGAGGCTCCTGACAAGAAGTCTTGGAAGCCTCCGCTGAGCTCGTGCCGAATTGGCTTCAACGACAAAGGAGTCTTCCTGCATGAGGACCATGGAGTAGCTTGCGAGCAAGACATCCTGCCGATTGATGTGAGAGTTGTTCTAAACCCCCGCCTCTTGACCGTAGACTACCAGTGCATATTGATGCAGGTGTAGGACCTGCACCAAAATTAGCACGGCGCAAGCGCGCACAAGAGCGAGCGCAAGGGCGAGAAAGTAGTGTAAGAAGGTTTATCAAGGCTTCAAGGTGGGAATGTGTTTAAACCCGTGTGCGTGGAAGAGCGCACAAGGGCGAAACGCAAGGCGATTTTCGAGTTACGGACTGCAACCATAAAAAATAACAACCCCCATGTAGATTGTATGCTGGGTTCAGGATCATGTCAAGCGATACTTTGGTTTGCTCGAGAGCGCCGCACGACATCTGGTGCCTGCAGCAAAAGCCCTGGTGCAGCAACAGATCCTGTTCGTGCCACTCTTGCCGTGGTAGGCTGCGTTAGGGCCACAACTCAGGTTGAGACGCAAGAGGCAATCCCAAAGTATTACCGGAGCGAGAATTGACGCCTGCCAGCATGACAAGTAGTTCGAGGCTGTTTTCGACAGGTCACTCGAAGCCTGCCCACTCGAAGACTGCCAAGGCCACGAAATGATGGACTCCCTTGCGGCCAAAGTGCAAACAGTTACTGACGATATGAGGAAGCAGGCCGATAAGGGCTTTACAGTATCTGTCAGACACGCTGGGTGGATGATGTTCAGGTGGTGCAGTCCACATTCCGTGCTGCTGACACCAATGGCAACGGCACCCTCAGTGCCATGGTGGCAGCATTCCACAGAATCCTGCTTGCTTCAGTCTCCAGTTTCCCAGGCAGGCACGAGATTGGTTCGCTCATGCGGCGGCTTGCGCGGGACTTGACACGAGTTGTACTTTCAGTCACATATCGAGCTCAGCCGAGGCGGTGTCGGTGACAGCCCAGGAGATAGACACCTTGATGAAGGAGGAGTCGGGTCATTGGGGGGTAGGAGATGTTGGAGTGCTGGGCCCTTGCACAGCGCCTACACTGCTCCACTTTTCGAGGCGGATGTGAATCGGGATGATCAGATTGACTACGAAGAATTCGCGGTCTCAGCCTCGGCAGCGCCACAGAGGATGTAGAGGTACACGCCTGTAGCTCCGAGCTTGTAAGCAGAGTTCTCTCGTCGCCGGGAACGGCTTAGTCTCCAACTTGGAAGCTGATGCTCTGGCCGAGACATGGATGCTGATAACCAGACGCGGGTTGATCAGCGCCAAGTTGACGGAGGATCTAGGCCGCTCTGTGCATTTACTGACGTGTGGAGAGTGTGTTCCTTGTGCATGTTTGTTTGAGGTTTCCAAAAGCTGCGAGTACCGCCCCTTTGTAATCCACCGAGCCTGTACTTCTCAGGCAGTGCCGCCGACATCGTCAGGTCGGTTAAGAATTGTTTTTCTGAATGTCTGATCTGATCAGAGTAATCAGAGAGCATCGGCATCTGTACAGGGCATCGTTCCGAGTCTGGGATTCCAACGGCAATGGCTTGATTTCCAAGGCATGGTCCTGTGCTCCCGTTGCATGACGTTCTTGCGCTTTCCACTATGGTTGCTTTGAGATGCAGCCTGGTTCATCTTGCCTCATAGTATGTTCCTTATGTTGCAGGCCGAAGTTCGGAAGTGCCTCGGATGCGCTTTATGCTGTTTTTGTTTTTTCTTGGGTTTGTTTTCCCTTGGTGAAAAAAGAGAGACATTGAGATAGGGCAACCCTCCACCACAGCCCTGGCGAAAGAAGAGATAGGCCAGGGGACCTCGACAGTCCCCCAAGCCCTGTGGAAGAAGAGCGGCCGTCAGCAAGCAAGCGCGTGCGACTGGAAGGGTTTGCATGCTACTTGTCTGTGTCCAAGCTGCTACTGCTACTACTACTACGACGACGACTTCTTCTACTACTACTATGATTATTACTATTATTGTTACTACTGCTACTACTACATTGTGCCGGAATTTAGAACAGTTATTTGATGGAACCATCTTGGCAATCTTGGTCAGGGGTGGGGGAGCAAGATGGTCGAGCAATCTTGGTCATCTTGCCCCACTTGCCCACCTGGCTCGCCGACTAGTTTACCTCTTGGAAACCAAGATTGCAAGATTGCTGGGAATCTCGCTCCCCCCCTGCCCCACTTGCGGCGCCACTTGCTCGCCGACTAGTTCACCAAGATTGCAAGATTGCTTGGCAATCTTGCTCAAATTACTGTTTTAGATTCCGGGAACTACGACGACGACGACGACGACGACGACGACTACTACTACTACTACTGCAGCGACCAAGCAACCCCATGCCATCAAAAGGGACAGTTTCAAAATTCATGTGCATCCGGTGATGTGAGCATTATGTGTTGCAAACAGGGGGTGGTGCCACCCGGAGGCAGCGGCTGTTTTCAAGCTGTGCAAGCTTGTTTCAACGAGCACTTGTGTCCAACATCGCCTTTGTTCAAGCCGTTTCCCGTTTTTCTCATGGCAGTGTATCAACAGGCAGTTTCACTATAGATGAATCCATCCATGTAAACCATTCAAACCTGTCATATAACCGTTGCTTTTCCTCGCACTTGCGGTTGTGCATGCTTGGAACTTGCAACCCACGCACCCCAACCCCGTCCCCAACAATCACTCAGGTTGTTGCTGCAAGCATGCAAGATGAAAGCAAAGGCCTGCAGCAGCCAGTGTGATGATGTAATCAGGGATTATCGCATGTCTCAGTTGGCCTTCAGGATGTTGAGATTCTGGCAGAAGTCATGGACACCGATGACGATGGTCGAAGCCCAAGCGGCCTGTCATTTCGGATTTGTGATATCGTTTATCGCTTGCGCTTGCATTAGGTAAGATCGACTACGACGAGTTTGTGAGTTTTCTTTTTCCTCGGAGCGAGTGAGGGACAGAGCTCTTCCCCATGTGTGATGCTGTCTCAGACCGCCAAAGGGCCTTTGACCGATTCTGCGGTACCAAAGTTGTACTGCGAAGCAGTACCAAAAATGACAAGACTGTTTCGAGAGCTGCAAAGCAGCATGCCAGCATTCGACCCGGTGGAGAATCACAAAGCTCTGCTCGCTCCAACTGCCGCAACATTATGCTAAGTCGGGGGGTCGCCATGGACCAGTTCGCTGCAGGTGAAAGTAATCTGCGCCTACGGCCATGTCCATGATCAGAATTGCGATGTGTCCGGCCGTGCCTGATTCCCACTGCAGATTGATTTCTCGCAGTGCAGCCTCTGTATGCCAGGAGGGACGAGAATGGCCTTTGCATCGAGATTCTGTCTGGTGGCGGAGGAGGTTGTTGTGGAGCTGAGGCGCAACCCGATAGTTTTTTTTTGCGACGATGGGCAACAAGTTGTGAGAATCCGGCCTGGGAGTGGAAGACATATTGTGGCGACTTCATACGATATTCGCGTTCACCAATGGAACAGTCACATACCAGAGCTTGTCACGAAAATGCCGATTCGGCAAGGGCAGCACATAGCTGAAGAGTTGCCCAACGTGAAGCTGAAGCGTGCACGCCACTACACATTTTGGCGGCTTTGCTTCACTTGTCTGCAGGTAAACCAAGCTGGGTTCAGCGTGGTGCATCTGGATGACCGTGGAGGGGTGGCTTCCGTCGATGTCGAAAGCCCAGAGGCAGGGCCTGTAGCATGCGAAGTGATTTGATCGGTGCCTTCTTGATTGGCAGGTGCTTGTGCCACTCCATTCATGCATTTGGTAGCTAGCTGCTGAGTGCAACAACTAGGCAAATTCGGTGGAATGTTTCGAAGAGGACTGCCACCGAGTCGTTCTCATACTCATCTGGCAACATATTGGATTTCAATGGCCCCTTGAAGAATTCTGTCACTTTGAGGACTTCAAAACTGATGAGTGAAGGTAGAAATTAGATAATTTAGAGATTCAATATTCTTTTCTAAAATACTTATCTTTGATTCTCAAGATCTATATTCGTAATATATACATATATTCATTTCTATATATATATATAGCGATATTCTTGCAGACTCCATAAAGTATAGCAATATACATTGGAGACTTTTTAGATAATTTAGGATTCTATTTCTATATTAGAATACTTATACTTTATGAGTTTCTATTCATGAAAATGTAATGAAATATTGATAGAAAATATAAGATCTTATATATGGTAAATTAATAGTATAAAATATTGGTGGTATATATATTAGATATATATATATATATATTTATATAAGCTGATATATATATATATATATCAAGAAAGTACGTTCTATATTTTTTATTAAGATTCTATATTTTTCAAGATATATATATATATATACTACTCAAAACACGTATTTATATATTTATTCGATAAAATGATTTCGGATTTATATAGGATATTGTCGGGACGAAATTCGGATTGTTTGGGACTATCGGTAATCGTGGGATTAAGGGCGAATATTCTGTACGAAATCTAGAAATGGTTGGAATGTTGAGGGTTTCGTCTTAGATGAGCGGAGGAAAATATCGATTCGTCCAGGAATTTTTTTCGAGAAATTTAGTCGTTCGTGCCACGATATCTTCGATTAACTTTGATCGTATTATGCCGTTTCGACAAATATTAGGTCTTATCGAATTGGATATTTTAGTGTTCTCGTAAATGATTGGACTTTTGATTTGTGGCATATGTATTATATATAATATATTCTATTATATTACATATTTTTCGGATTTATCGTGTCTGTCGTATGGACCGACGCGGGCGAGGGCGTGCGTCGGGCGAGCGGAGGTGTGTCAACGGGCGCGCGGGGGCGTATCCGTCGCAGGCGTGGGGCGCGCGAGAGTGGGTCGGAAGGGAATATCGCGGAGTGGGGTGGGGGCCTGTGGGATGGTGTCGTTGGCGGGGGAGGGCGGTTCGAGGTAGTATCGCGGAGTGATGGGCGAGGGTTTGTATATCATAGGTAGTGTCGTGGAATGTGGCTGAGGGCATATGGAAGGGAGTGTCGCGAAGTAGTTAGTGGGTAATAATTGTATGGAGAGTGGTGTGGAATGGAAGGTGGGAGAGATGGGTCGAGAGGAGTATCTCGCGAGGTTGAGAAGATGGATGGGCTGGATGGGGAGGGTTGTGGAATGGTGGATGTGGTCTGAAGTATTATGGGGATTTATTTGGGTGGGGGAAGTGCGGAATAATAGGGGATCGAGCTTGAAGAAAAATGATAAGGATAATAAATAAAAATAATTCAAAGGGATAATAAAGATATTAGGGGAAAAAATTGCAATTCATAGGGCGGGTGTAAGGAGAATTATAGATTAGATGAATATATAAAGAGCATTTATAGGATTATAAATTAGAATAGGATAGGAAATTTCGATTAGACTTTTTTCGATAATTATTAGAAATTATGATTTTGATATGAGGCGAAAAGGATAAATTCTGAAAGACAATAGTTAATTAAAAATAAAAAGAATATATGATACTATTATAAATATTTTATTTATTGATAGTTATTCCGACCCCAAATGCAGAGAATATTATATTGGGTAAGGAACGAAGGGAAAGTGAAGGGAAAATCCAAAAGGAACCCGACCCTGAACGCGAGAGGCTCAACTCAGTTCGAACGCCTCTTTTCATGCTTGAGCCAAACATTCAATTCATGGCATAGCTACATAATCAGACAATATCTTTACAGAGGGATCGTAATTCTCCAACTCCCCCCTTCTGACTTGTAGCGACTATACATAAGTGCATCATCATAAGGGTTGATCAGGCCCAATGATATTTAATTATGAATTTGAAGGAAAACAACAATTTTACCTGTCGTTGATTCCCAGAACAAATCCTCAGGAATTATTCGTTGGCATGGTGCTCTGCACACACACACATAAGATTAAGTTAGGTATGGTTACCATCCTCGTAGCGCAAAGCAGCTAAACAGAGGAGACAGCACAGACTAAGATATGCAATGCCTTGAAAGGGTGTTCAGCAGCCTAAATGGAATACTTAGTAATCCGGAAGTTGCTCTCTAACGATACTTAGTAAAGACAGAGCGTGCGCCCACTTTTGAAGAGCTAAAGTTTTCGTGAGTGGATCGCCACGCTGAGCACTCGTATCACAGTTTTCAAGCGTAATGTTTGCGTGACCATTGACGGCCTCGCATGTTGACGCCACATTGATGTGGTGTGTTTTAGAGAGGTGACGCAATTTGCTGCTATGTCCCTTGTGGACGATAGCGATGCAAGCCTGATTGTCTTCGTATATCTTCAACATCTCTCCAGGAAGCAAGCTTTCCACACATCAAGCATAGGTAAAGCATCGCCAAAGAGAGCGCCGCTCAGCGACACAAACTC